TTAAAATTACTAAATTAGATAAAAAATCACACAGTTATTGCCTTTTATAAAAATTGAAGTGTGTTTTTCAGTCAGAAATGCATTTGTTACCCAAAATTATGGCAAAAATAAGATAACAAATAAAATTACGACAAAAATAATATTTTGTAAATGGTTACCCACATTTTCAAGCTAAAAACGCATTTTTTTTTTAATTTGTTAAAACGCACCGTAAAATCACAAAATCATGTTTGCAATTTTGCAAAACCTTACAAAAATAAATTAGAAAATTACCAAATAATGTTATTTTTGAGTTTTTTATACGTTTAAACACGTTTTTGAGCTAAAAACTAAACAAAACAAAATTTTGGGCTATCTGTCGTTTTAAAATCCAACTAAAACTTATTTTCTTAGGCGTAATAAACTTTTTAAGAACTGGTTTTTGGTGATATTTTAAATCAAAAATTAAATTGTAGCTGAAGAAAAAATTATACAATATACCCATTTTGAAGACTTTTCTGTTATTGAATTCTGAAAATAAGAAGACATTTTGTATTAGTGAAAAATAGTGTTACTTTTTAAATATTTTAATTTTACCGGTTTTTATTTTTTTGCAAAATTAAGTCAAAAAATGTAAAAGTGTTTTATTAGTTTTAATATAATATTTTATGCACAACTTTTTTATGTTTGACTAATGTGAATGGTTAGAAAAAGAACAGAAATAGGCATTTCGCGTTATCTGTCGCTTGAGAAATAATTTTTTTTCTAATTTTTACAAAAAATTACGTTTTGTGATTTTTTTCAAAAAACTTTTGGTAAAAATAAAAACTCATTTCTGTTCAGTGGAAGATGATGAATCGTTGTCCTACCATGTTTTTTTTAATTTTTAATTATATTGAATTTTCATTTTACTGAAAAAATTGTCAGTTTCATTGATGGGTTTTTACATAATATTTTATATACAATTTTTTTTTTAATTTTTGACTGATGTGAATAATGAAAAAAAAATTGAAATATTAATTCAAGGCCAAAACCTAGTTTCCTATCTTTAATAGATTTTTTAGACATGCACAATGCTTCTTAATTAAAAAACAAATTTTTCTTGTGTAGTTTTTCTTAATTTTCTTTAATTTTTTGATGGAAAAAATCGAGTTTAGTCGTAAAATTCTCTAAGACGAAAACGTTTAATGCCTGTTTTAATTAAACAATAAAACTGGAGAAGAGTAAAATAATTCAAGTGGAAAAAATATCAACGTGAGAGAAAGAAGTTTTACGATAGACGGCATGGAAACACGACTCCGACTCAAGGTAAAAGATAGAGTATAAAGGTGAGGGTGCAAGATGAAGCCATAAAACGTGCAATTTGCCGGCCTCGTAATAGAGATTGGGGTGTCGGCAGGGAGCCAACGACCAGCATCGGGGGTGTTTAAATGCCTGTCCTGTCTAGTCCTGATCTAGAGATCAATATTTACCGTTTTCTATGTCTAATTTATTATAGAGCTTAGACTTTTTAGCACAAAAAGAGCAAAAACATGCATAAAAAAGCACAAAAAATGTAAATAAATTCTAAAGTAAAAAAGTTTTAAAACAACAAATCAAAAAACAATTAAATATTACCCTCATTTTTGACAAAATTTTTGCAATTTTTTTGTAAGAAGTTGCCGATAGTTCCAGTTAAGTACTTTTATGATAGCGTATCTAATTTTTTTTTGTATTCGTTTCAAAAATGGCTGTTATAGGGACTTATTTGAGCAATTATTTTTATAAAGTACACTGTCTTGACCAAAACTGTTATCTATTTTGTTGAAATATGTTGTGTTGATTCAGGTTGATTTCCTGCTTAAAATTGAGCCAAATCGATTGAAAAAAGCCCAAACTGCTTCATTTTTGTCTGAAATTTGAAGGAATTTAATCAAAATTAATTAATTATTAGGCAAATTAAAAAAATCTTGAAAAACTAGAGTAATTTAAGAGAAATAAGAGATAATCAGAGAAAATTAGACAAAATTATTATTAGAGAATCCAAAAAAATCAGGTAAAATCAAGGAAATTCAGAAAAAAATATGAGAAAATGGTTTATTTGTTGGCAAAAAGTGTTGAGTCAGGAAATATCGGAGAAAATAAGACGAAATTAGAAAAAACCAAAAAGGAACCAAAGAAACTCAAGAGAAATCAACAAAAAACAGAAAAAATAAGAATAAATTAGAAGAAATCATTGCGACATCAAACAAAAAGAATCAGGAAAAACCAAATCATGACACAATTGGTAAATTACAAGAAATCTTCAGGAAATTATTAGGATATTAAAGGAGTTTGGGAGAAATTAGAGGAAAACTAGGAGAAATCAGTGGAAATCAGAAAAAATCAGAAGGTATCACAAAAAAAACAAAAAAAAAATAAAGGAAATTTTAAGAAATTCAAAGAAAGACATGAGAGAATCAGAGGAATTTAAAAGAAATTAATGAAAATCAAAAAAAATTAAGAGAAATTAGAGAAAATCAATAAAACATAAGGGAAAAGCGGAGAAAATAGGACAAAATTAGAAAAATTGTTAAGGGAAAAAAATCAGATGACATGAAAATATTTCTTTAGAAAAATAGGAAAAAAGAAATCAGAGGAAATCATAAGAAACTTTCCAAATTAGAAAAAATCTTAAATAAATCTATAAATAATTATATATAAATAAATTTTTATTCACAACAGGAGATGTTGAAGAAATTATGAGGAAATCAAAAGAATTTAGGAGAAATCAAAAGAAAATTAAAGAAAATTTAGAGAAACTAGAAGAAATCTGTGGAAATCTACAAAAAAAAAAAATCTACAAGAATTTACAAAAAACCAAAAAAAAAAAAAAAACGAAAACAAATTACAAGAAAATTAAATGAAATTTTGAGATATTTAGAAAAGGACATGAGATAATCAAAGAAACTCAAAAGAAATTAAAGGCAATCAGAAAAAATCAAGAAAAAATTAGGGGAAATCACTAGAAAATCAGAGAAAATAAGACGAAATTACAGGAAATTATTAGGAAAGAAAAAGTCGTTCGTTAGTTAGCAAATTATAAAATTATATTAAATTATATTATATTATTATAAAATTTCTGGTTTAAAACGAGCAAAATCTGGTTAAAAATATCGAAAATTGCTTTATTTAAACATTTATTTTGTTGAAATACATTGATTTAGCTTGATTTTTGGCTTAAACTTAATCCAAATCGATTAAAAATATGACAAATTGCTTTATTTCGGCTTAAAATTGAAATAAGAGAAATTATTTTTATAAAATACATTAATTTAGAATGAATTATGTACTAACATCGAGCAAACTTGTTTGAAATTAGCTAAAGTTGCTTTATTTTGGAAAAAAACTTTTATTCAAGCTATTATTTTGTTGAAATACTTTGATTCAGGTTGATTTGCGGCTTAAAATTGAGCCAAATCCATTAAAAAAAGCACAAATCGCTTCATTTTTGTATTTTAAGCAATTATTCTTAAAGAATGCATTGATTTAGGATAATTTCTAGTTTAAAACAAGCAAAATTTGATTAAAAATAACTCAAATTGCTTTATTTAAGCATTTATTTTGTTGAAATACATTGATTTAGGTTGATTTTTGGCTTAAAATTGAGCCAAATCGATTCAAAATATGACAAATTGTTTTATTTCAGCTTAAAATTAAGATTAGAAAATTATTTTTATAAAATACATTAATTTAGAATAAATTCTGTACTAAAATTGAACAAAATTGTTTGAAATTACCTAAAATTGCTTTATTTTGGCAGCAAACTATTTATAATTTAAGCATTTATTTTGTTGAAATACATTGATTTAGGTTTATTTCAGGCTTAAAATTGAGCCAAATGGTTTAGAAATTGCTTCATTTTGGCCTAAAATTGTATTTTAAGCAATTATTTTTAAAAATACATTAATTTAGAATGATGTCTGTGTTAAAATTGAGCAAAATTGATTGAAAATAACTCAAATTGTTTTATTTTAGCAGAAAACTTTTATTCAAGAATTTATTTTGTTGAAATCCGTTGATTCAGGTTGATTTTCGATTTAAAATTAAGTCAAATCGATTGAAAAAAACACAAATCGCTTAATTTTTGTCTAAAATTAAGCAATTATTTTTAAAAATGCATTGATTTAAAATGATTTCTGTGTTAAAATCGAGCAAAATTGGATTGAACATAGCTTAAAAAATTATTAGTTAATTGAGTTAGGTTGATTTCTGGCTTAAAATTGAGCCAAATGGTTTAGCAATTGCTTCATTTTGGTCTAAAATTGTAATTTAAGCAATTATTTTAATCAAACATATGATTCAGAATGATTTTTGTGTTAAAGTCGGGCAAAATTGGATTGGAAAAAGGTCAAATTGCTTTATTTTTACAGAAAACTGTTATTGAAGCATTTATATTTTTTCTTTAAAAAAGTCTTTTTCAAATTCAGTAAAATAGTACCTAAAAAGGTTATTTTAGGTAGGTTTTCAGTCCCCAAAAACAGTTTTTTTCTTTTAATTAATAAGAGGTGTGAATTCGTTTTTTGGAAGCTTTAAAAATGTTGGCTTTCAAAAATACCAAATTATGTTTCAATTATTTACTTTTAAAAACTTTTATTAAACTATCTTGTAGGTAGAGGCGTATATGAAAAAACTAAAAATAAAATATCTAAACTCAAATTTTGTAATTTTTAGATTTAACCAGTTTTGCAACTAGACGACTTAATTATAAATTATATTTGTAACAAAAGCTAAAAATGAAACATAAATGCCAGATTAGCAAATAATTTTATTCACCAACAAAGCGTTTTTTTGCACTGGAATGGTCAAAAGATAATATTATTTATGAGGCTATTTAACTTGTTTTCTGTTTCAGATCTGGACGCCGTACGTCCGGAATTAATCGCAAAGTTATGGCAAGAGGAAATCGCTGATAAATTCATAGGAGATGAGTGCAGGGGCCAAAAAACTGTTCAAAATGTTGAATGAGTTTGGAGGCGGATATGAAGAAAACTGCACATTGCCGTGCTTTGATGAATTTTCCGTTGTTCCTCCTGGTTTTCTATCTAACAAAACACGGAGATGCAGGTAAAATATTTAAAAAAGTGTATTTAAATATCTTTAATTTTCACCCCAAGTCCAGAAGATTTTTTAATTTAGATTTTAATTTAGAAAAAAGTAAAAATGAGGGAATGTTTGTCACATGCCCCCGCCATACGGATTATTTGCCTCTGTGTAATTAAGATTACTCTCTTAATACATATCAGAATTTAATTAATTAATTCAATTTGTGATATTTTCAAACAATTTGGCTCAATTTTTATTTTAAGCTAAAATAAAGCAATTTGTTAAATTTTGAATCAATTTGGCACAATTTTATGCCAAAAATCACCTTTAATCAATGTATTTCAATAAAATAAATGCTTAAATATAGCAATTCGAGCTATTTTTATTCAAATTTTGTTCGTTTTAAACCAGAAATCACTAAATCAATGCATTTTTAAAAATAATTGCTTAATTTTAGGCCAAAAATTAAACAATTTGTGCTTTTTTCAATCAAACAGATTTCAACAAAATAAATTCTTAAATAACAGTTTTCTGCTAAAATAAAACATTTTAAGCTAATTTCAAATAATTTTGCTCGATTTTAGTACAGAATTCATTCGAAATTAATATATTTTATAAAAATAATTTCTCTAATCTCAATTTTAAGCTGAAATAAAGCAGTTTGTCATATTTTGAATCAATTTGGTTTTATTTTAAGCCAAAAATCAACCTAAATCAATGTATTTCAACAAAATAAATGCTTAAATAAAGCAATTCGAGTTATTTTTAATCAAATTTTGCTTGTTTTAAACTAGAAATCATCTTAAATCAATGCATTTTTAAAAATAGTTGCTTAAAATTAAATTTTATACAAAAATGAAGCAATTTGTGCTTTTTTTAATGGATTTGGCTCAATTTTAAGCCGGAAATCAACCTAAATCAAAGTATTTCAACCAAATACTGGCTTTAATAAGAGTTTTCTTCCAAAATAAAGCAAGCAAGCTATTTTCAATCCAATTTTGCTCGATTTTAATTCAGAATTAATTCAAAACTAATGTATTTTATAAGTATAATTGCTTCAATCTTAATTTTAGACTAAAATAAAGCTATACGTGATATTTTGAATCGATTTGGCTCAATTTTAAGTTGAGAATTAACTTAAATCAAAGTATTTCAACCAAATACTTTCTCTAATAAGAGTTTTCTTCTAAAATAAAGCAATTTGAGCTATTTTCAA